TAGGGGAGGAAGATGAGCATCTCCCCCCCATGTGATTTACAACCTCCTGAAAACCCACTGAAGGGTTATCTATGAGTTGGTTCCAACTCAACAACAGTGAGTTTGGGGTTTTGGTGTGTTGTGTTGTTTTTTGTTTGTTTATTTTTCCATTATATATCCAACTTTAAAGTATACCAACACCAGTCTGTTGTTGCTATGTGTCAATAACTCATAGCGACTTTATACACAATAGCTCTGAAATCTGTCCTATCCTGAGCCAATCTCACTCTCTTCAATACTCCTGCCCCTATTGCCCTAGTTATTATGTCAATCCATCTCAGCCAGGATCTTCCTTTCCTATGTTGTTCATCCATCATTCCCAGCAGTAAATCCTTCTCCGAGGACTGGTTCCTCTGGGCAACATGCCCAAGTATGTAAGATGGAGTATCAAAATCCTTGCCTCCAGAGAACAACTTGCTTTATTCTCTCCAGGACAGACTTTCTTGTTCTCTTGGCAGCCCATGGTATGTTAAATATTCTCTAGCAGCACAGATCAATAACATAATTTCTGTAATCCTTATTCATTGCCTAGCTCTCTGATGCATAACAAGTAATCACAAAGACCATGACCTGGATCAGGTGCACCTTAATCTCTAAACTGACCTCATTGCTCTTCAACACTTTGTAGAAGTCTCTGACAGCAGCTTTTCCTAACTAATCCAATTTGTCTTTTGATTTTCTGACTACTGGTTCCAAGAGTTTTGACTGATGGAACAGAGCAATCTAAAATTGTTAGTAGTCACAATCTCTTTTTCACCTATCATGGTACTGCCAGTGGTCCAGTGGTGAGAATTTTCATTTTCTTGATGTTAAGCTTCAATCCATACTGAAAACTGCAGTCCTTCACTTTTTGTAGCAGATGTTTCAGGTCCTCCTTAGTATCAGTGAGCAAGGTTATATCATCTGCAAAATGTAAGTTGTTGATAATCTTCCTCTTCTGATGCCACAATCCTCCTCATAAAGACTAGCCTCCTGAATGATCTGTTCCACATATAGATTTAAAAGATATGGAGACAGGACACATCCCTCATGTAACTCCTTTCCTGATTTTGAACCATGTAGTGTTTCCTTCTTTATTTTTACACCTTTTTCCTGGTCTAAGTACAGGTTTCACATGAGCTCATGGAGGCCAGTTCCAATACAAAACTGGAATATCAACAATAAAAATGTGGACAGGAGAAAAGTTGCCCAATTAAGCTATTTTACACTGGTAGGAAAATATCTAAACCATATTTATACTGCAGGTAAGTCCTAAATATGTGTTACATGGTTGCTATACATTGTAGGTTTTTATTTTGGACTAATATTTTCATTAGGGAATTAAACTTTTCACTGTTCCACTAGCGTTTTAAAACAGTTTAGAAAATTATTCATTTTTTATTTTCATAAAATTATTTAATTATTACATGAAATTGTCTTGCTTTGTAAGAGACAGGAAATATGAAGCAAGATAATTCTTTCCATTTAGAAAAGAAATAATGCCAATGAAATGGATAGAAAAACTAAATTGAAATGCTAGAAATGTTATGGTTAATATTGAGTTCATCACAATTCTATTACAGCTTACTTTTTTTTTTTCTTCTTTATGTTCAAATTGAAGTCATGTGAAATGACATTTTATGTCCTGTATGGCTGAACAAATAAGTCTATCTTCGAGAGGGTGAAACCAATTTGCTCCCTGGAGGCAAGGATTTTGAGGCTCTATCTCACATTCTTTGGGCACATGGCCAGGTGGGACCAGTCCTTGGAGAAGGACAGCATGTTTGGAAGGGTGGAGGGACAGTGCAAGAGAGGAAGATCCAGGATGAGATGGATTGATTCAGTGACTGGAGCAATGGGATTAAGTCTGTGGGAGATGATGAGATTGGTGCAGGATAGGGCAGCTTTCAGAGCTAGCGTACATAAGGCCGTTATGAGTCATAGATGACTTTATGGCACATAACAACAACAACAACAGGGTTATGTATGGTTGAACACATAATAGGACAACTGCTTTCCTATTTTAGGGGTATATTTACAGTTTGAAAATGTATAATATTGGTATCATTGACCTATGCTAGATATACCCTGAAGGTAGATAATTGAAAGATGCCACCAATATTACTACAAGCCTGGTTGACATTTAAAAAGCAAGTGTTCTCTAAGAACATTCAACAGAGGAATTTACAAAATACAAGATTTAATGTATGAGGTTACCAATGTACTAAAACTTACATATGTAAATGGGATATGCTAAATCTTTAGCTCACATACCCTGTATTTGCAATACACTGTGTATCTAGATGTTCTTCAGTTCAAAATTGTACAATAAGTGGTTAAAGCTTGATTAGGCAGGGAATAGGAATATTGATTTTCTTAGACATTTGCTTTGATGTGCCTGGACATATGAAAATATAATTATTGGAAGGATCAAATCGAGAAAAGGTTATCTATATATGGGGAAAACCCTAGATACAGGGCTCAGTTTACAAAGGAGATAAAGCTTTGGATGTAGATCTTTAGAGATCAAATGGTTGACAAACCTGAGACCTAAGAATCCTGATGCTCTAGATTCCTAGGATTATGCATGTTAATCTTCCCTTTTCTGATATAGTGGTTATTCAGATATTTTGCCATTATCCTTGACCTCTGAAACTCCACCCATATCTTCCAAACCCCCCTGTGTCAGACAAGTTGTATTCACTTAGTCAAGAACATTTAATACTTGTATTTGTATGTTGTTTCTGTTGTTATGTGCCATTGAGTCGCCTGCGACTCATAGTGACCCTAAGTACAAAAGTCCTAAACTCTGCCCTGTCCTGTGCCAATCTAACTATCTCTGACACACCTACCCCTATTACCCCAGTCACTAAATCAATCCATCTCTTTGAGGGTCTTCCTCTCCTGCACTGTCCCTCCAAGCATGACGTACCTCTCCAAAAACTGGTCCTTCCTTGCAACATGTCCAAAGTATGTCAGGTGAAGCTTCAGAAATTTTGCCTCCAAGGAGTATCTTGATTTAACCCTCTCTAGGATGAATCTGTTTGTTTTCTTGGCAGTCCATGGTATATTCAATACTCTTCTCCAACACCACAACTCGAAGGCATGAATTCTCCTTATATCCTCCCTAATCATTGTCCAGCTCTCTGATGCATAACAAGTGATTGCAAAGACCATGGCATGTATCAGGCACACCTTAGTCTCCAGACGGACATTGTTGCACTTCAGTACTTTACAGAGTCCTCTTGATATTTACTCATTTTTCATCTGAGTAAACCTGGGTTGTTTCCTTGGGGATTCTAACAGCTGCCTATAGAGAGGCTCATTATACTCCTCACACTTAGATTCATCCACTGGAAACCTCTCTTATTTATTCAGAGTGGGAACTCAAGGCTTATGAGTATCTTATGAAAAGTTACTCTTTCTTCTGGTGGCATAGTTGACACCAAAAGGCTATGTCTTCCCATGCAGAAGAAAAATGAGTCATCATCTCGTAAAATGTCCAGCCTTGGAAACCCTTTGGAACATCACTTACAGCCAGAACAGAGGCCACAGCCATGAGATTTTGTTGTTTTTGTTGCTTTAATGAAAATATATTGGAATGTAATTATCTAAAGAAGTACTACTTTGCAGAGAATTAACACAATTTTGGGAGTAGGGTTATGTATGTTCTCCTTAATTTGTTCTTCTCCTTATCCAATCTATTCTTCCCTGTGATACTGCTTTTGGAATGTCTATTTCTAGAGGGTAAAATGTACCCTTGGCTTACAATGCAACAAAAATATTCTCATACTTATTATGTTACAAAAAATTAGAAAATTATATATGAGGAGTTGTTGTCCTAAATTTCAATTATACTCACTTGAGTTGGAAGCATGTCATATCTGACCCTCCATTCAATGTCCAGGGCAGTAAATCACAGGGAAGAGATTGTCCATCCTTCTCCCTCAGAGCCATTCTGGGATTTTTAGTGCAAGAGAGGGAACTTTGGTATAGCAACACCACTTCACTAATGCACTGTCATTGTATCGCAACCTATGCAGAGCTAACCTTCCAGCAGGTTGTCAGGCTGTAAATTTCCCAGGAGTACATTGTCTGTGTGGATCTATCAAACTAGATCTGACTTGTAACTAAGTTGTTGAGTGTTTGGTTTTGTCGTTCTAGTTTACAACAAAGTGCCTACTCATGAACTGCTAAAGCAAAATACATTTCTAACTTGAGGGCTACTGATGCATGCATGATGTCAATAATTATTGACTATCAAGTGTAGTCTAAAGAAATAATATTGGTATTGTGTGCTTATAATAATATTATATTTCAGAGTAGAACTGCCCCATATGGTTTCTGAGCCTTTAGTTTCTATGTAACTGTCTTGGTGGTGCAGTGGCTCAAGTGCTCATTTGCAAAGTGAAGGAAGGGTGAGCAAACCAATTGAGAGTTCCTTGAGAGAAAAACGTGGTAGTCTTCTTCTACGAAGATTTCTGCCTTGGAGACCTTGTGAGGCAGCTCTGGACTGTTGGTTCACCCTGCATCTGAATCAGCGCAATGGCGACAGGTTTGTTTTTATTTGAATCTTTACATGAATAGATCATCAGGTCTTTTCCTCTGAGAAGCCCTGAAAGGTTTGAATTGCTGACCTTTCAGTTAACAGCTGAATACTTTAACAATCCCACCATCATAGCTCCTTTTAATTAAATGATAACCAGAAAAAACATCACAGGTAAAATATAATTTCATCTCCATACATTATTACCTTGTGAATAAGTTTTAAAATATTAAAATTTTATTTATATAGGAAATAATATTTGATGAAAATATCTAGTCAAATTTAAGATGAATGACTTGAAAGCTTGTAATGTCATTAACAGTAGGGGTGATTTTCTTAAGGGATCATTTTGTAAGGCTGTCTAAAAGGGAAATGGATATTGGTGAGGGGGTGTCTAACGTGTTGACTTATCCAGAGAAGGGACATTAAGACTTACCCATACACACAATGTGCAGCAGACACCAACCAATCGTTGCTGATGAGAGAAGCACCACAGAGTAGTCTGTCATTATGATACAGAGCTACCAGCCAAGGCCAGGCTCCTTCTTCTGCGTTGTTTCCACCAACAATCTTTGGGCTGACTTTTTGAACCACCATTTTTTGTCCACATGCTAGCAAAAGACATTGTGGTGGGGAAGAAAGTGCATATTGTGTCTTGATGAATTTCTTCCCATCATAAAAGTCAAATGGATCAATACAAAGTCACTTAAGGTGATATAAATACTCTATTCAGAATTGTAAACTTAAGACTACTATAAAATATTTACTTACTTTTAGGGTTGCATTGCAATTGAATCAATGAGTTCTGTAAACACATTTTTCTGTAAGAAAAAAGATAACAATTTTATTTCAAAAGTTGTGCAATTAATTTTTCAACATAAAGCAGTTTAACAAATTCTATATTCTTAGTAAAATTGACTTCATAGTGTAAGGAACATATATGACAAACTCTGAATGAATGAAACATAGCTGTAAAAGCCTGGATGAGGAGTCAAATAGCCCTGAATTTGCATTTACTTGTGTGATTTGGGGTAAGTAGCTCAGTACCAGTGAGACTTTGCTTTCTTATTCATAAAATTAAAGCAGTAGTATTTACTTTGCTGGAATATTTTGACAATGAAAAGAAATATATGTTAAAAAAAAAAACACCAAAAAAAAAAGATACGATCTTCCCCAAATCACACAAGATAAATTATACCTCTTGTTATTTCATTGACTCAAACCTAATTTTCGTTATTATGTATTACAGCCTATATTCCTGTGTTCTAACAGATAAGTTATGCAATATTCAAAACTGCAGATCAGAGAGCATTCTTTATTAGAGAAGTTTAATGATAATGAAATCACAGAGGCTAAGAGAGAGACATATAAATACAGAAAAATATAAATACAGTGCAAATATACATTATGTAAAAACTCATCACTGATAAAAAAGTTTGCATCTAACATTTTTCAAAAGCCAAGCATTTTGAACAAAAATTTCAACAAAGGAAACTTAAAATGTGTTATGTGTAGCAACCACTAGAGATCAGTATAACGTAAGAAATTAAAGTATTTGCTCACACTTTTTTTCCCTTTCTTTTTTTCCTAAAACAGCTAGTGCAGATAAAAACACATCCAAATGCACTGCAGTGGAGTGGGTACTAACTCATAGTGACCATCCATCAAGTTTTTTTCAGGCTGTAATTTTTTATGGAAGAAGACTGTGCATCTTTTTTTCCATGGAACAGCGATTGGCAGCTTCAAAATACACACAGTGTACAACACACAATTAAAATTTAAACAATTTCTGTTTTTTCATCTCATTGTGCATGTTGTACTTAAACTTCCAGACGAAAATAGAACAAAAATCACAAATGAGACCTAAGCTGCACATCAGATTATGAATATAACCAAAACCCTGTAGTAATTCTGGAACACAAGTGAAAAGATTTGAGATCAGAGCCTTGTTATACATTTGACATAACGTTTAGAACAGAGGACAATTACAACTGAAGTGGAAGGAAATCTACTTATCAAAAGCATAGCCAATCACATTGCTGTGAAGCTAGTTGTGACTTCAAGCGAACCTATACACAAGTTTAACTGACTCAAAGGGTTCACAAAACTTTCAGTCTCTAAGTACTAAGACTGCCTCAGCTTTTCCTGAGAAATGGCTCTTGCGTTTAAATTATTGACCCTTCTGCTTGCAACCAAAATCTTAAACAGTTACTGCCAGGGTTCCTTATCAATTGCCAATGTGCCTGCAGTTGTTTTCACCATCTCAATATAGATATATTCATCCCTCCATAACCACTCTCAAGAAGAATCCTCAATTAACTAACTTTCTTTATTTTATCTACTTGAAGTAGAAAGATGAAGTATTCATTTTCAGACTGTGTACTTGTACACTTTAAAGTGTCATCTAATCTTTATTCACAGCTATAGGACTTATGCATGTTGGCTATGCACAATGTTCATGCATGAACATGTACTGGTCAAATCTTAGTGTAGAGAAAGAAATTATTTCAGTTCTACACAAAGTGACCAATGACTAAACATAATAATCCCCGCAATAATAAACTGCTTTATTCCCCCCCCCCAATTTGTTATTGTTATTTAAGTGTCATTAAGTTGACTAAGTATAGTGGCCCTAGGAATAAGAGAACAAAAATGTATCCTATCCTGTGCCATTGTCATGATCCCTGTCATTCTCAGGCTCACAGTTGCAGTTTCTGTGCCAATTCATTCTCGTTTCTTCCATTCCTTCACTGAACTTCTGCCTTTCTTAGCATAACATGATTAATTCAGAAAAAATATATAAGGACCTCTACCAATGTGATATAAGGTTAGTGTTAACTATGTAAGTATTGTGTCTTTCAAACAACATGCATATACATAAAATAGCGACTTCAGTGTAAGGCAATGCTAGTATTTTGTTTATGAGCATGAGAAATCTACCTCTATTCTCAAACATGCATGTTAAGTCAAATGTTTTCAAAATTATTCTTTTCTTCTTGTCCTTATTGATTTGTAAATGTCTAGAGAGTATAAGTAGAAGAAATCCTCATTAGACAAATTTATCCAATATCTGTACCAGTAATATAAAAGTTGCTGTTGATAGGTGTCCTTGAGTTGCCTACAACTCATAGGAACCCAATCTATGTTCAACAGCTGTGAAACCTGCCCTGTGCTGAGCCACTCTCACTGACTCCAACACACCTATGCCTATTGCCCCAGTTACTGTATCACTCCATCTCATCTGGTGTCCTCCTCTCCTGTGCTTTCCCTCCACCCTTCCAAGCATGGTGTTCTTCTCCAAGTATCAATCTTTCCTGACCATGTGCCCAAAGTATGTGAGACAGAATTTCAAAATTCTAGCCTTCAAGGATAAACATGGTTTCAGCAAGACCTGTTTGTTTTCTTGGTGTTCTATGTTATGTCCAAGACACTTCTCCAGCACTACAACTCAAAATCATCAATTCTTCTGTCATCCGTAGTAACTGTCAGGCTCTCTGATACATAGCAGGTAATTGAGAAGACCGTGGCCTGGATCAAGCACACCTTAGTCTCTAGACTGACATCATTACTTTTCAATATTCTGGAGAAGTCTCAGACAACAGATTTCTTCCAATGCAACTTGTCTTTTGATTTCCTGACTGCTAGTGCCAAGAGTATTGATTGTGGAGCTGTAATTGTTAATAATCTCAATCTCTTCTCCAGCTATCATTGTGCGCTAATTGGCCAGTGATGAAGATCTATGTCTTCTTAATGTTGCGCTCAAACCATATTGAAGACTATAGTCCTTGACCTTCTACAGCAAGCATTTCAGGACCTCCTAAGTTTCACCAAGCAAGGTTGTATCATCTGCATAGCATAGGTAGTTGGATAAGTCTTCCTCCAATCATGAAGTCATATCCCTCCTTATAAAGCCCAGCCTCCTGAATGATCTGTTCTGCATATAGATTGAAAAGACTGGAGTCAGGACATCTTTCTCACACACTCCTTTCCTGATTTTGAACCATGCAGTGTTTCCTTGCTCTCTTCTGAGGATTATTTCCTTGTCTGGGTATAAGTTTTGCATAAGCACAATCAAGTGTTCTCCTCAAGGTTAGCCACAATTAGTTATGACCACACTGTGAAATGTTTTTGCATAGTCAAGTAAACACAAACATTGCTCTGGTACTCTGCTTTTTGCCAAGATCCGTAGATCTTGGTAATAATGTCTCTGTCCCATGACCTCTTCATAACCCAGCTTATATTACTGGTAGTTCTCTGTCAATGTACTGTTCCAGTAATTTTGGAAAATCTTGAGCAAAATTTTCCTTGTGTATTATATTAGTGATATAGTTTGATAAATTCCACTCTATGTCAGGTCAACTTTATTTTGAAATGATAATAAATACAGATCTTTTCCAGTCAGTTGGCTAGGTAGTTTGTCCTCCAGAATTCTTGGCACAATCTGGTGAGCATGTCCCAGGTAGCATCTGTTAGTTAAATTGTAGTCCCTCAATTCCTGGTACTTTATTTTTTGCCAAATCTGTCAGAGCAGCCTGGACTTCTCCTTCAGCACCATTGCCTTTTGATCATATGTTGTTTCTTGAAATCCTTTTGGGTCAGGTAATTCTCTTTAGTACAATGTACTCTGTATACTATCTTCCATCTTCTTTTAATGAATCTTTGATCAGTCTAAATTCTGCCCATAGCATCCTTAAGTGTTGCAGCTCAAGGCTTGAATTTGTCCGTTAGCTTTAGTCCTTCCACTTAAGAAATACCGAGGAAGTTCAGCCCTTTTGATTTTCCAACTCCAGCTCCTTGCACATATCATTGTAATACTTTGTTTTCTCAAGCTGCCCTTTGAAATTTTCTATTCAGCTCCTTGACTTCCTGATTTCTGCCCTTTGCTTTGGCTTCTCAGCATGCTAGTACAATATTCAGAGTCTCTTATGACATCTATTTTGGTGCTTTCTTCTTCGTATTTGTAATGACCTTCTGCATTCCTCATGGATGATATTTTAATGAAGATTTACAGAGATTTTGGATTTCCATTCATTCATTGTTGTACTTTTCTCCTTGCCAACTCTTCCCCTGCAGTTTGTTCTTGTCTTCCAAAAGTAAAAGAAAAATTATTTCATTGTCATACAATCCTTCTTCCCCAATCCACTCCACTATGGAGCCTTCGTTCTGGACTCATGTCATGACAATAATACCTAATCATATATACCTGTTAAACAGTTCTCTCATTTGTTTGAATACAGTATACATAATTTATCCCATCTTTTTTCAGTCACAAATGGACCAATACTGTATAGTGCCACTGTTGTAAAATGAGACTGACATAGGGCTTGGGGACAGACTGAGATGGATGATATTCTTGATATACTCCCACAGTTCATCTGGCCTTTGTTCATTAGTGTTTAAGACCTCAAAACTGTCCCTAAGTTGGTTTTTAAATTAAGGCAGGGATAGACTCCAGATGAAATTTTGATTCCTATGGATATGATTTGACTTATTTAGCTTTAATCTGAACTTGCATAATGAGTAGTTGATGGTCTGTTCCTCAATTATCCCCTGGCCTGGTTTTCACTGCAGGTATTGAACTTTTCAAACAATTTTTTCCACAGATATAATTGATCTGACTTCTGTACATACTATCAGGTAAGATTCATGTGTGTAGCCTTTGCTTAGTTCTAATTTTTTGGTGTGTGTTTTTTTCCCTTTTTTTCTGGAGAAACTAGTCTTTTTATTTTTACTATATATAAACAGATTTATGTTATGCCATTAAAATATCACAAGTTCATTGTTTTCCTATTTTTATTCTTTTCTAAAAAATTCTGATTTA